GAAGGCAGGGAAAAGAAGTATGGTAGTGATCAGTAGTGATTTCAGCCTGCTTTAAAAGCCCCCCCCCCCCTCGTCACCATTCACAACACTTTCCCACATGAAACATTGAGATAATCAAAGGGTTTTTGAGACTGTGCATTTGCGTTTTTTCTTTTGGCTTCCTTAGGAAACAGTCTTTCAGTGCTGGCATCCTACCTTAGTTGTCTCATGTGTTCTTCTACTAGTTTTATACAGATGTGGTTGGAGCACCATTCCTGAGTGTTGGCTGAGAAAGAGGTTTTTAAAAGATCATATTTCAACAACCTGGAATGCGTGTGATTGTGTTGCAGCTTTCTGATTGAAGATGGTTGTCCCTATTTCTAGTAAAGTCTAAATCAGGCTTCCTCAGCCTCAGTCCTCCAGATGTTTTTGGCCTACAGCACCCATGATCCCTAACTAGCAGGACCAGTGGTCAGGGATGATGGGAATTGTAGTCTCAAAACACCTGGAGGCCCGAGGTTGAGGAAGCCTGGTCTAAATCCTTCCAACATCATAATTCACAAAATAATGCCCAGACTCTTCGTTTTCCTCCTCTCAAATAAGGACACCCTTCCTCATAGATCAGAGGTGGCTTACCTGTCACCCTCCATATTTTGAAGGACTCTAACTCCTATAAATGGGACGCGGGTGGCGCTGTAGGTTAAACCACAGAGCCTAGGGCTTGCTGATCAGAAGGCCAGCGGTTCGAATCCCCGCGACGGGGTGAGCTCCCATTGCTCGGTCCCTGCTCCCGCCAATCTAGCAGTTCGAAAGCACGACAAAGTGCAAGTAGATAAATAGGTACCGCTCCGGCGGGAAGGTAAACGGCATTTCCGTGTGCTGCTCTGGTTTGCCAGAAGCGGCTTAGTCATTCTGGCCACCATGACCCGGAAGCTGTCTGTGGACAAACGCCAGCTCCCTCGGCCTATAGAGCAAGATGAGCACGCAACCCCAGAGTCGGTCACGACTGGACCTAATGGTCAGGGGCCCCTTTCCTTTACTTAACTCCCATCAACCTCATCTGGCATAATCAGCTGTCATGTTTGATAGGAGTTGGAAGACAGCAACATCTGGCTGGCAAAAGGTCTGCTGCCTAGATTCTCACTTCATCTTTCAGGAAGTCATTATCATCAAAAGCATATTTTAAAAAAAGAAAAATATGGAGAGAAATGAGATGAGAGAGATTCATAAGCAGTAACCCAGGAGCTGTTTTTGCTCTGACCCCCATCCACATTGTGCAGGGTGTTCCTTGTAGTACATTTTCCCCCTTGGTACATTAAGTCACCATATATTTCAGCTTTAAAGGTGATCTTGAATGTTAAAATGACATTAGGCCAGTTCTTAAATAGGAAAGTATTTTTTGCATTTCTAGGAAGGTGCTAACTTTATATGGAATCTTAAATTGCAATCCTGTGCAGTTAAGCTGAGACAAGGGATGCTTTCTGTGTGCCTGACTTGAGTCCTGATTCGAAAGCTCATAGAAATGACTCATGCAGAATGCAACATGTGGCCCCAGAAACTGTAATTGTGCCACATCTTTGAATTGGGAGTGATTGAGCAACCAAAATCTGATGCAGCGCACCTCCAATCGAATCCGATTGAAAAGGAAGTATAAGACCAGAGCAAAGAGTCTATCAGCATAATCTCAGAAGACAACTTTTCCTATGGTCTCCCAAGAACCTTATTTAATTGTTTGTTGTGATGCACTAGCCATTTATTTTATGTCACAGTTCAGATTTAGAATTAATGTAGATATAACAGTCGCTGCAACAGGGCTCCATAGGCCAAGGCTGACCTTAAGCCTTTAGCTAGAGAAATGAACTTATGAACTGAACTACGTACAGTTGTTTTACAATCCACCATCTTGTTCTGACAGGTGTCTATGGGAAGCCTGTAAGCATGACTTGAGTGCAACAGCACACTCTCCCCTCCTGTGGTTTCAGATGACTGGTATTTAGAAGCTTACTACCCCTGACAGAAGGGACGCAGGTGGTGCTGTGGGTTAAACCACAGAGCGTAGGACTTGCTGATCAGAAGGTTGGCGGTTCGAATCCCCGCGATGGGGTGAGCTCCCGTTGCTCGGTCCCTGATCCTGCCAACCTAGCAGTTTGGAAGCACGTCAAAGTGCAAGTAGATAAATAGGTACCACTCCGGCGGGAAGGTAAACGGTGTTTCTGTGCACTGCTCTGGTTTGCCAGAAGCGACTTAGTCATTCTGGCCACCATGACCCGGAAGCTGTCTGTGGACAAACGCCAGCTCCCTCGGCCTATAGAGCAAGATGAGCACGCAACCCCAGAGTCGGTCACGACTGGACCTAATGGTCAGGGGCCCCTTTCCTTTACTTAACTCCCATCAACCTCATCTGGCATAATCAGCTGTCATGTTTGATAGGAGTTGGAAGACAGCAACATCTGGCTGGCAAAAGGTCTGCTGCCTAGATTCTCACTTCATCTTTCAGGAAGTCATTATCATCAAAAGCATATTTTAAAAAAAGAAAAATATGGAGAGAAATGAGATGAGAGAGATTCATAAGCAGTAACCCAGGAGCTGTTTTTGCTCTGACCCCCATCCACATTGTGCAGGGTGTTCCTTGTAGTACATTTTTCCCCCTTGGTACATTAAGTCACCATATATTTCAGCTTTAAAGGTGATCTTGAATGTTAAAATGACATTAGGCCAGTTCTTAAATAGGAAAGTATTTTTTGCATTTCTAGGAAGGTGCTAACTTTATATGGAATCTTAAGTTGCAATCCTGTGCAGTTAAGCTGAGACAAGGGATGCTTTCTGTGTGTCTGACTTGAGTCCTGATTCGAAAGCTCATAGAAATGACTCATGCAGAATGCAACATGTGGCCCCAGAAACTGTAATTGTGCCACATCTTTGAATTGGGAGTGATTGAGCAACCAAAATCTGATGCAGCGCACCTCCAATCGAATCCGATTGAAAAGGAAGTATAAGACCAGAGCAAAGAATCTATCAGCATAATCTCAGAAGACAACTTTTCCTATGGTCTCCCAAGAACCTTATTTAATTGTTTGTTGTGATGCACTAGCCATTTATTTTATGTCACAGTTCAGATTTAGAATTAATGTAGATATAACAGTCGCTGCAACAGGGCTCCATAGGCCAAGGCTGACCTTAAGCCTTTAGCTAGAGAAATGAACTTATGAACTGAACTACGTACAGTTGTTTTACAATCCACCATCTTGTTCTGACAGGTGTCTATGGGAAGCCTGTAAGCATGACTTGAGTGCAACAGCACACTCTCCCCTCCTGTGGTTTCAGATGACTGGTATTTAGAAGCTTACTACCCCTGACAGAAGGGACGCAGGTGGTGCTGTGGGTTAAACCACAGAGCGTAGGACTTGCTGATCAGAAGGTTGGCGGTTCGAATCCCCGCGATGGGGTGAGCTCCCGTTGCTCGGTCCCTGATCCTGCCAACCTAGCAGTTTGGAAAGCACGTCATAGTGCAAGTAGATAAATAGGTACCACTCCGGCGGGAAGGTAAACGGTGTTTCTGTGCACTGCTCTGGTTTGCCAGAAGCAGCTTAGTCATGCTGGCCACATGACCCGGAAGCTGTATGCTGGCTCCCTTGGCCAATAAAGCGAGATGAGCGCCGCAACCCCAGAGTTGGTCATGACTGGACCTAATGGTCAGGGGTCCCTTTACTTTACCCCTGACAGTGTGATAGAGAATGTAGCCATCAGGATTAGGAGCCACTGATGGCCTTTTGATGATGGTTTTCTACATAAGTAAAGGTAAAGGTACCCCTGCCCGTACAGGCCAGTCTTGACAGACTCTAGGGTTGTGCGCTCATCTCACTTAAGAGGCCGGGAGCCAGTGCTTTCCGCAGACACTTCCGGGTCACGTGGCCAGCGTGATGAAGCTGCTCTGGCGAACCGGCACCAGAGCAGCGCACGGAAACGCCGTTTACCTTCCCGCTATAAAGCGTTAGCTATTTATCTACTTGCACTTAGGGGTGCTTTCAAACTGCTAGGTGGGCAGGAGCTGGGACCGAACGACAGGAGCTCACCCCGTCGTGGGGATTCGAACCGCCGACCTTCTGATTGGCAAGTCCTAGGCGCTGAGGTTTTACCCACAGCGCCACCCGCGTCCCGGTTTTCTACATGCTAAGCAACTAATACCCAAGGTTAACATTTGGCCATGTTGCCTTTCTAGCATCATAATAGCAATGTTTTTCAATAGTTAGATATGCACCGATAGTATGTTAACATGTTATTCAATTACTCTTAAGGATAGAGCCTGCCCTAACTTAAGGTTTTGCAGAACGCATCCTCATGTCTGTATTTTGCGAATGTAATTTTATCAATTACACATCATTGGCAAGAGCATTGGAGAATTGCCAGTAATTTATTTTTGTCTATATTGCCTTTTTACCAAAAGTACACAAGATGGCTTCCAACTTGCACAGAGCAATGTATAACGTCCTGCTAAAACAATAAAGCACAGCTAAAGCAACTAAGTAGTGTATACTTTTATAGATGTAGCAAAATTGTATCAGAAATAAAAATTCTCCAAAAAACCCCTATCAAATAAATGCTTCTTTTTCATCCTCTGTTGAAGAATGTGGGATACTGTTGCCTGCATGAAAAGTGGTAACTGTAAAATCTCAGGCAAAATAACAATGGGGAATTACTCTGTCTTGTATCTTAATGGGCGAAGAGTTAAATGTTTTGGAGTCCTTTGGTTGTTTGTTTTGACCACAGCTTATGTTAAAAACAACAACGGGCAAAATTAAATATACTGTCATTTTACAATATGTGGACATCATGTGTTAGAAGCAATTGCCTGTGCTGAAAGAATGCTGTGTTTCTTGAAGACTTGAGAATTAATTTTTCCATGATTTGAATGTCTATCAACACTGTTCAAAAGGTTGTTTATTTCAATTCACTTCAGTAGATTGGCAGTAAACTTGTTAACAAATCTGCAATTGCTTGAATGTTTTTTCTTCTTTTCCTAGTTTGCTGCTTTGTGGTTCACAAGAGGTGCCATGAATTCGTTACCTTTTCTTGTCCCGGGGCAGACAAGGGGCCGGACACGGATGTAAGTACATTGTACTTTGCTCTCTGATCTGTGTTGATTCATTGCTCTGTTGATGCATTTTGTTGATTCACGGATGGTAGATATTGACAGCTTAGAGGTTAGTTAATATGTTCTTTAATAGATTGTGCTTATTAAGTTTCTTCTGTCACAGTCTGTCTTCTCCATGATCACAGGCAATTGCAACGATGAAGCCAATGAGAGACAAATAAGAAAAAAGCAGAGTTATGAAGCAAAAAAAAAAATAAAAGGGAAGGAGAGAATATATGAAAGACAACATAAATTATAAAGTCACTTTTATTAATATTGAGAGCAAGTTATAGCCAGCTGTTAGCCATGTCAAACTGCTGCACTATTGCATATTTCCAATAATGTGTAACACTATATTCTTCATTCATTCTGAGCCACTATTTTTATTATTATTATTTAGCCAGTCACTGACTTCAGGTAGACACTGTAGTGTTCATTGATTTCACAATTTTGTTTTTCAGTGGGGAATAGAAGGTTGATTAACCTCTGTACATCTGACTCTGGAGCTTACACAACAATTTTGATAGCCTATCTGTTAGAGTAAATGTCTTTGACCTGAGGCGTTTGGGCTTTTCAATCCAGATTTCAGTTCTGCTTGCGTTCAATCCTAGATCTGTTCCATCCTGTTTTCTACAAAAAATTTAAACAATACACAATTATTATTATTATTATTATTATTATTATTATTATTATTATTATTTAGAAATACACAAGTATTATACACACTTCTGTACACACATTCTCAAAAACTTGCATTTTGTATGCATTTCCCCCAGATCTGCATTCTAATGCCTTCCTATGCATTGCCCTATTTTTGTACATTTTGTGTGTGTGTGTGTGTAACATACATTTTTGGACACATTTTTTTAACAAAACCATCATTGCAAAATTTAGGAACGTGTGCAATCTGATTGTGAACTGTGTTCCATTTTGTGTCTTTGTCTGTATCTTATCTATCTTATCTTTTTGTCTAAGTCTTGGAACTTAGGTCAGTTTGTTTTAAAAAGTGGACTGAATTTTTCATCCCTAGCTTGTAGCATGGGTTGACACCTCCTTAGGACCAAAATCAACTTTGCCTGATTCATGCTGCAGAATGGAGGGTTGCCTATGTAAATATCCCCCCACCTAACAAGAGCTTCTGGAGAACAACCAATTAGCATGTCAGAGAGGGGAGCTGTATATTCTTTTCCTGTTTGTATGGCGCATTTTTGTGCAATAGCATTCATATATACAATCTCACCTGTCCAATTGCTGGTAGAAGTGCTGGTGTCTCAAAAAATAATAATTCATGGCTTGATTCCTTTGCACATACAAACTGGCAGTGTGTTTCCTTGCTATGGAACCATTGTGGTAGGGACCATTTTGTTTTGCCTGTCTGGATTGGATTGCATCGTTCGAGTGTCTTTGATAATCACATGTTCCTAGAGAACTGAGGTTCCTCTGTGTGTTTTGTAATTACTTTTTTATTTTATTTTATGTAAACAAAGTGCAGACATATATTTGATTTCAAAATGAAGACAGGCTAAGGAAGGGACAACAATTTGCTGCTCATAATGATATCCATTGAAGATTATCTAATGCTGAGATCTTCTTTTTAAAATACCCTAGTAATGTTAATTGTTTCATTACTTTCTGAGTTTTATTTTATTGTATTTTCTGCTTTCCTTCTAAGGAGTCCTGAGAATTTACTGGAAAGGCTTGCTGAAAATAATCTCTAATAATTGAATAGATGTGTGGCTTCTAAAGTTGTTTTCAAACTGCATCTCCTCACTCGGCAATACGCTTTTGAAACATTAGAGTTTCAAAAGCAGTTTAAAATAATGTGAGGACTGCTATATCGACACTCCTATCTCAAGAGGCCCTCTGAATCATGGCTAAAGAGATTTTGGTATTCTGATATATTTTTCTGGGATGACTTTATAAAGCTCCCTTGGGTGAATGAGTTCAAATGGTAACAAAAAGACCTAAAATTAAGCACATTATTTTATATTTTCTGTTCAGAAGTGCCTTTTGGCAAGTAGTTTCATTACAGGACACTCTTTGTAGAAGTTACAAAGATAATCTTAGATACATTTGTTGAAATTAAAATGCCATGGAAAAGGAGGGTGGATGGATGTATACGACATATATAATTTTAGCTCAGCTGCAGTTAGTAGAATGACTCCAATCTCCTCAGCAATTCATTACTGTAGTCTTCAAGTTGTGAATTGGATCAACTGATTACCTCCCATTGTAAGGGATGCTATGTTCTATATAATTCTGTCCTAAGAAATGGTATTTATAACTGAAAGACACATTTAAAACTGATCATTTCAATCCCCTTCAACAGACTTCTGATGAACAAAGACTAGAATGAACCATTTGCCCTTTGGAAATTAGAGAGACTAGCTATTTCTCAACTTTTAAAAAAATATATATTTGGAAATGACTCTTTATTTCAGAGTCATTTCAGAGGAGTATAGCTATGTATAACTACTCTTCATACTCTTGGAGATAATGTTTGCTTGCCAGGTTTTCTCTCCAGTTTTTGAACACCCTTATCTTTTGTCACCAGTTTTTCAGCTGAAAACGAGCAGGGACAGTTCTTTCATGCCAGTAGCTGGATGGTTGGCATGCGAAATGCAATGTTGGAATGGATGCAACACCGGTACATTCCTTCCAACATTTCCCCATCCCCAGGAAGTGTGTATTTCATATGCACGGCATATCAAATATACATCACATATGCATATGTTTACAGTTTTCACTGCTCTCATTTTGGTTCTCAGAATTTAAGGAATGCATGGGAACTGTGTGCTACTGGCTTGTCATGCCTATTTACATGTAACAATAATAATTATCCTCAAGTAAACTACACTAAGTATGCTTTATTAGATTTAGCTTCCTTAATCAAATACTTCAAACACTTTTGAAATATTGTAAAATTAGCATTGTATACTTTTTAAAAAAGTTTCATTCTTTAAATATAATATGAAACCAGATCTCCATATAGGGCAGCAAAAATGCTTCTTGAAATTCCCCCCAGAAAACTTATGTTACAAGTGGTGTGGCAAGTCATTAGCTTCCCTCATGGTTGCAGCAGATTCAGTGATGTCACACAACTTGAGGTAGCTTCTGTCACAGTTGCAACAGATTCACTTATGTCACAAATCTTGTTTCTTAGAGGGTTGTGATGGCATGTTGAAGATGACTACAACCACAAGGAAAGCTTTCACAAGTGACTTGCCTCCACATAGTTCCATTTCAAGTGCATATTTCCATATTCATATTTTCCATCAATAATTGGCCCTGATGGGAATTCTGTCATGGACCAGTTCATGTCTCATAAGCATTGTTTTGAAATCATAGCCACATCTTTCCCCTTTGACATTTTAAATTAGTAGTTCTGTATGCAAACTCTTTCTAGTTTTAAAGTTGGGGCTTTGCAAAGTGACTCTAAAATTTGCCTCAGTTCCTTTTTAAGTAGCATTTAAAGCATTAGTTGTTGTTCCATTAAGTTATAAAAGGCATCGTGCAGTTGATTAACTTTATAGCTGATTAAAGAGGTGGGGGGAATCTTGAATGTACCTTCATGTGAGCCACACTACAATCTGCTGTAGTCCTAGATTGTAGAGAATTTTTTATTTCCTGTGCTAAAACATATTGTCAGGTCTGTAGGGGGGTTGCTTGCAAGTAAACAGCCAGGATGCTGACCTGTCTTTTCCAGGTTTTATTTAGTGCAACTATCTACAGTTCAGAGTTCCAAAGTTCATGACTGTCAGTCACTCACAGATTCCGAGAGTGGTTTCTTCCTGTCCCCCCCCCCCAGCATAAGAACTTCAACACCCCCAGTCTCCTCCTCCTTTCCTTACATTTGACTCCCTGGCAAAAACTAGGCGATGGAAGCTGCACGTCTGTTTCCCTATCAGCCTGCCTGGGGCTGTGCTCGGGCTCGCAGTAACCTCTGTGAGCCTTTGCCTCCCTTTGCCCCTCCTTTCCCCCTCTGTTTCGCCGGAGTCTTCGCTCTCACCAGTCCCCGATGAGGTGTTTGTTGTTGTTGTTTAGTAGTTTAGTTGTGTCCGACTCTTCGTGACCCCATGGACCAGAGCACGCCAGGCACTCCTGTCTTCCACTGCCTCCCGCAGTTTGGTCAAACTCATGCTGGTAGCTTCGAGAACACTGTCCAACCATCTCATCCTCTGCTGTCCCCTTCTCCTTGTGCCCTCCATCTTTCCTAACATCAGGGTCTTTTCCAGGGAGTCTTCTCTTCTCATGAGGTGACCAAAGTATTGGAGCCTCAGCTTCACAATCTGTCCTTCCAGTGAGCACTCAGGGCGGATTTCCTTCAGAATGGATAGCTTTGATCTTCTTGCAGTCCATGGGACTCTCAAGAGTCTCCTCCAGCACCATAATTCAAAAGCATCAATTCTTTGGCGATCAGCCTTCTTTATGGTCCAGCTCTCACTTCCATACATCACTACTGGGGAAACCATAGCTTTAACTATACGGACCTTTGTTGGCAAGGTGATGTCTCTTACTGCTCAGCAAAGTCGGAGGCTCCCTGTACGCTTCTGCCTCCCTCCCCCCTTTCGATGGCGGTACCCTGACACATATCAACAGATCATCTTGTATACTAATGTCATATGAGTATTTGTGCATATATTTAGCACTGTATACATAAGGACTATGACTAGATACAATTTATATGGAATTCCTAGAATATCAGTTGTTGGCTTTCTTGAATCCAGCTGAAGATCAAATGGAAATTTTGCAACTGTGGAATGAGCTCAGGGGTTGCATACCCCTTTCCCTGTCCTTCTCAGGCACAGCCATGAGGAAGAGACTGGAAGCTTCCACTTTTGGTTTCAGTTAACCACAATTTAGTATTGCATATGCAATTAGTGTTAAAGTTTGTTGAAATAAGCCTGTTTCTTAACCCGTGGTTCGAAGTTGGCTTTTTCCAAAGAAAGCATTGTTAAGATAAGTCAGAGTTT